CACATATAGTGCCATTTTCTTCAACGTTGTTGAAGGTCGCCGGTCGCCGCTTCCCCTCCCCAATATGAAAATAGAGCCAAAACAGCAAACGCAAACGCAAAAATTTCGCAGTTTTTTTTTTGCCGTTTAGCCTTTTTGCGTGCGCGGTCCGTGGGGGGCCAGGCAAGAGACCTTGGAGTCGCAGGACACCATCGGCGACCCGGCCGGGCCGGGCTATGCCGGACCCTGGTGCGCCGATAGTCAAACAGCCGAGTGTTCCTGCGGACGACCTCTATTATGCAAATGCTACAAGGCGTCGCGACGCGTCGCGTGGGAGCGGCGCTCCGAGACCTCTCGCTCGCATGATGGATGGGCCGGTGGGAGGGGGTGGAGGAGAGGGAAAGGGCCAGAAACAAAGTTGGGTTCGGAACCGCGCGCGCACGACCCGGTCCGGTCCACCTGGAAGGGAGCGGTGTTATTGATCATCCGTGTTCGTCGCGCGCACGCACGCAGTGTAGGAAAGTTTTGGGAGAGGGTAAAAACTTTTGAGGGAGGAAATATGATCCGCACCGATTTGGCGTACATGTATAATTTTTTTGTTGGTGGTCGATTTGTAACACCCCGGGGGGTGCACGTACATGTTTAAGTGAATTACAGGCGCTGGTTTTGTCCAACTCAGAATCAGCGCAGTGCATTTACAGAGTGAATGTTGCGAGCAGTGCCTTTGCCTTCAAGGCATTTCTTATCCGGCCGCGGGACTGCACCGACCGCGCCTGCGGCTCGCCCAGGTTGAAATCAGCCGTGCCCGCATGCCCAATACGCTAAAACGCTCCTTGAGGTGGGAAGTACGACTTCGCCAAGTTTCAAGTCTCAGGCCCCATTTGTAGGGTTGGAGCTATCAACTTCCCGACACTTGCATAACCCCCCCCCCCCTCAAAAAAAGAAAAAAGGAAGAAAATGAAAAAAGTACGGCTTGAGAGACACCCACGCACAGCAGGTAGTGATTAGCCATTAATTAATCGTCGCTACTGAAACACGGTCTTCTCCTTGCACTCCTGGCGCCGGCCCGGCCGGAGCGCTATCAGGGCAGCGGGGAGCGCCTGTCATCCAGGGGGTAGGCAATGCCGAGACACGGCTGCTCGACGGGTGTGCCTACCCGACAGGCGCTCTGGACAATGCGGGACGGCCCAGGAGGGGCCCAGCCCAGCCGGGCCCACCACGCCTCTCACTACTACGGCTCCACACATTTATATGAACATGCTAACTCGAACAGAATCTACACCCAGAAAATGGCAGAAACAAGGCGAAATGCGTTGCTTCAACGCTTTTTTCACCACAAGAAATACAAGGAAAACTGTGTTAAACTTAAGGCAAATGCCGTCAACGTAAAGTAAAAATGTCCTTAATCTTGATTTCCTCGAAAATAAGGGAAAACCCGAGGGAAAACCTTCAACCAAGGTAAAAAATGTCTCGTAGTTCTTATAAGAATTTTCCTTCGTTTAAGGATACCGATTTCTGGGTGTAGCGTTATGGTCATGCCGCTGGGTGCCGGCGAGCGCTATCAGCTCAGCTGGGAGCGCCTGCCATCCGGAGGGTAGGCAATGCCGAGACACGGCTGCTCGACGGGTGTGCCTACCCAGCAGGCGCTCTGGAGCCCCGAGCGAGCAAAGTTCACTAATAAAGTACACCGTCCGAGGAAAAAAAACACAAGAAAAATCAGAACAAAAAATAGAAAAAACATATAAATCTGTAACGTTTGAATTTGTGGTAAGGTACACCTCCCCTAGGCTGCGAGCGCCTCCTCAGAGACGCGTCCCAGCAGAGAGGAGCCGCGATGGACCCGCTTTGATACACCTCCGGCCCAACTGACTGCGCAAGTGGACTGTGGGCCGTTTTAGTGACATGTATGCAAACAAGTCGGGATGGGGGCCCCGGCTACGAGGCCCGGCGGGCCCACACCCTCGTCTCGGCCAGCGGGGGGCGCCGGGCCTCGGGCGGGGAGCGTACGGGGGATGACAGGTTATTGGCAGGAATAGCCCCGAGGTGTGCGCCCCTCCCGAGCCCCGCCTCTGCCGTTCCCCGGCCGCTCCTCGCATCGCCAGACAAACACGGGGCTGCGGACGCGGTTATATGCTAAGCAGGAAGAAGAGGATAGGAGGCGCACCAGATTTTCAAAGTGCGACAAAGTTGTGGGCATCAAAACTCAACACGTTGAATCCTAACGGCAGCTGGCGTTTAACTACACTGCCACAACGACAATCACGGAAACGGAGCGTCACGTGGCTCTACGAACTGCGCTACGGTCGAAACTGAAAAACAGCCTGATCATCTCTTCAGGCTCACGCGGACAATACAGGGAAGCCCTGCCCTGTACACTGCCTATTTATACTATGGGCATACGGCAATGGGTCACCGGATTGCAGAGCTCTGCACACGCCCACGCCCACCCCAAGTGACAACCCAGAGGTGTCACTACAGAAGGCGTCACCACAGCGGTGTCAACCCCAGGTGTCATGTCACACCCCCACCCCCATATGTGTCATACCCTCCAGGACGACCAGAGACACTCACCTGTACGGACGAGGCGGAAGGTGACGCTGCTGTGCTTCTGCAGGGGCTCGTTGTACTGCGGGTGGGTGAGCTCCCGCAGCGACAGGTCGCTGCCGGCCATGGCGGCCGTGGAGCGGGCGGAGCGGTCGTGCGCGAGACGGGGGCTGGGCGGGGCGGAGCGCGGCCGCAGCGCGCGCGTCAGGAAGGAGCGCTTCTTGGCCTGCTCCGGCGCGGCCTCGGGGAGCAGGAGGAGCCCCGGGGCGGTGACGGTGGGGCCGTTGGAGAGGGCGAGCGCCGAGCCCGCGGCGCGGGACCTCGACGACGAGGAGGACCTCGCCGACGACCTGGGCGAGCGGTCCGCGCGGCCGCGCTGGGGTGCGCCGGGGCTGGCGGGCGGCCGGCCGGCGGTGTGCTCCCGAGCCTCGGCGGACGCTGGAAGACAAAGACACGAATGAGGACTAGTGCCGCAGGAGCACTCAAGTTGGCGCGAACGCGAACCCACCCGAAAAACTCCTGCCCTGCCCTGCCCTACACTTCACTCCCCCCCCCCCTCTTATTTTTGCTCTGCTCAACTCTACCATTGATACACTCTTAACTACCATCAACAACAACAACAAAAATCTTTGTATTACAAAGGTTGAGAACGGTAACAGAACAAACATTTTGCACAAACGTAATACGAAGGAGCCACTTTGTGAAATACTAAGCGGTTTCTTCGTAAAAGACATTTCCTTTGAACGGCACATAGTAAAAGTGTTTTAAATAAAGCTTTTGAATTGGAAATGAATTTATTGTTGTAAGGCTTTATATCATATAGTAATTTATTATTTGGATGTGAGCGAGTCATGGTTAACAGTTAAAATTGAGCGTATAACTATATGCTCTATTGGAAGTACATATTACGTCTTACAAATTGCTTCAGTCATAGGTTTTGCATTGAAGAACCCTCAGCTGCACCTGACTATATGACATTAGATAAGTAGACTTCAACGCGCACACTTTTATCAAAGTCTAGGTGGGACTAAGGTGCGCAGAGGTCAGACACAATGTAAATAATACGCGCAGTTGTCAAAGAGTATGCATTCTCGGCACCAGGTGCCTTATCCTTCTGGTAAAAACTTACTTGTGCAACATTACAACAGGCTCTAAGGGATGTTAGTTTCCACGGGAGAAGTACCTCCCTAACCTCAACGGCCGGTAACAGCTGTCCATAACCGTTGGCTACTGAAAGACGATGCAATATTCCAAGGGTAATGAAGCAAAACTTATGGGAGATGATTATCCCATTACAAATTCAACTGCCATCGAAGTTTTTCACACCGAAAATGTGTAAGTGCAATGAACACTGCGATGTTGTGCTGCCGACGCCATAACGAAACGAAACGACGGCGACGGCAAGGGGCGCGGGGAGAGGGGAACACACGTGGCGCGCTCTTGCGGGGCGATTGTGAACTTGGTACGTTTTGGCATTCCCTCTTCGCTCCGCAGCAGTCTCACTTTCGGGAGAACCTCTTTCTTTGTGGCGACGGTCCGCGTCTTTTGAACCACTCCGAGTGGCTGGCGCCGTCCTCCGTCCGTGCCGAGGCGATGCTTCGGCTCGGTCGGCAGTGCTCGACAACGCCATCGGCGGAGGAGGGAAAAAGGGGGGGGACGACGACGATGACGTCTTTTGCCAACAGCTGTCGGCGGCGCCCTCGAGAGGAAGAGGGGCAAGAGCGGTGGCGGAGTATCAATCCGCTCTCCAGGACTGATATGGTCGTCGTCGTCCTCGGCTGCGGCGACGGCGGCGGCGGCTCCGGCCCGGCTCCGGCTCCACAACCGTTCCTCCCCCTCTCGGTAGGACGTCGACGACGTCTGTTGCGCAGATCTTTCGTCCTCGCCCCCCCCCCCCTTTTTTCACTGTCGCTGACGCTTTTGCCACGTCCTCGGCCCCTTTTCTTTGTATGTCACAACCCCAATTTCTTTGTAAGAAGAGTGTAAACCAGCAGGTCACAAAGCGCCCTCATAAAAAAACATCTAAAGTAAAGGCCCACTTTATTTTTTAAAAAAAGGGAAGAGAAAGGCGTCTGCATGGAGCCTTCGCCTAGTGAGAAATGCATTTTCTTCAACGTCGATTTGATGTTGTTTGGACGTCGATATGGTCGAAGAAAACGTCATTTTGTCTCCCAAATACACATCTTTTCGATGTGTTTCGATGTCGATTCCATGTTGAATCCACGTTTCCATCTCTCACTGGGTTCTCGAGCACCCCGACACTCCGCCCTGCGCTTCGCCTCGCGCGCCCACCACGCTCTACTAACGAGGACAGCACATTGACGAGTGAGTCCCAAATGACCGCACGCCAACCAACTACAGACCACTTTACTAAACCCCCAAAATAATTTAATAAAAAGGAGAGAAGAGAAGAGACGTTGTGTTTCGCAAGAGAAGTTCTCGCCCCCCTTTTCTCCCTGAAGTAATAAGCCAAGGGTTGGCCAAGTGTGCAACAAGAGTACTGACTCCCTCCTTAGTCCCCTGAGACGGGCGGGCGTGGGCGAGGGCGAGCGAGCGCGGTTGAAGTTTGCTACCTTCTCACGACGAGGAATGAACAAAGCCAAAAAAGAGTACGGACAGGCATAAAAAACAATGAGGAAACTAACGTGGGAAAGAAGACAAGAGCGGTGAACTCGACTGCCCTCAGCAATGTGATGTGCGATATTTTTTTATTTCTCCCAATAAACGGCATCAAGCAGACTGTACAACCAGCAGCGCTCTGGTCAAGGCCTGCCGTCCTACACAAACTTTTCATGTGCAATTATTATGAGCAAAATTATTTACACATAGAGAAAATTGTTCCATTGCACGATGGTCAGAATGAAAACAAACAATTGCAAGTAATTAGTAAATAGGAAATAAGTTATAAAATGTGAGATTGAAAAGGAGGTATTGGAAAAAGAGATAAAGCTAGTGGAAGCGGCGCCCAAAGAAAAAAGACAAATGATTTGCTCTATTTGCTGCACATTGTTAGGACGAGGCGCTCCCCCGCCTATGCCCCTCTGCACACGGCTCGCGTAATGGCTGCCTCAATAAAATACAAATAAAATGTACCGTGCCCGAGGCTCCCCTGCCCCTCCCCCCTCTCCCCCCTCTTGTTTTCTTAAGCCATGCGCATGCCTACTGGCAATGAACAGCAGGGGAGGGGGGCTTATAGACGGCCTATAAACCGACTGAATACAGGCTGCCGGCTTTCGTGACGCCCCATCCCCACCCCTTTTCTCCCAGTGCCCCTGTTCCACGCTGTGGACCTGGACTGTCACACGTGCCCGCATGCTGCCTCCACCCGCCACCCTGCGGTCAGCGTAGAGGTGCGAAGCTAACACACATCGAGATCTGTCGATTGTCTTTATTTTATTTTTCCTTGCTTGAACCAGAGCGTCAGTTTAATATTTCCTTTCCATTCTCCTAAAGGAGAATATAATTAATACTAGTGTTAGGACAAAAGAAGTTCTTTCTAAATGAATGCAAAATAAAAAATAAAGCTACAAAGCTCATATAGCAAGTACGAAAGTGACGACGAGTACCTTCTTGGCTCTACAGTACTACGGCGACATCCGTCAAGTGAAAATAGTCCCCTGAAAAATAAAGAAACAAAAAACATGCTTGTTAGTGAAACACAGGTGATGAGTATGGGTTAGTTGGCGGGTAGCACACCGTTCATAGGATGAAATGAGGTGAGGGGATCAAACTAGTACACGGAAAGTGGTCAACTGGTCAGACTACATTGTGGACGAACTACCTATACTATGATCACAATACTTAATCTCACCACATGTTATGTTAGATGTTAGATCAAAGATTTCTGACAGAGAAGACAAAGTGTAAGCCACGAAAGGGTTTTGAACGGCTCACCTCGCACTAGGACGTCGAGGATGTCGTCCTGGGCCGAGTGGCCTTGCTGTAGCTGAGTCGACAGCTGCTGCTCTTGCAGCTGGCTAGTCTGCTGCTGCGGCTCGTACAGCTGGAGCTGGTCGTGCTGCAGCTGCTGCGCCGACAGCTGCTGCTCGTACAGCTGCCGGTGGTAGCGGCACAGGGAGCGCCGCTGCCTGCTGTTGGGGCTGGGGCTGCGTGGACCGAGGACTATCTCTTCCGCAGGGAAGAGTACGTACATCCTAAGGGACTCATGGTGGCGCGCAGCACCGAGGCGCTACCCTGAGGCCCGCACCACATTCAGCACGCACTTGGCGCACGCACCCGCGCACGCACCCGCGCACGCACGGACCAGCCGCAGTCAGCCTCTAGTGCATGGCCTGTAAGCAGAGGGAAGGACGTAAAGTCATTAGGCTAGATGCGCACGATAACAGAACAGCACAGACTCGTGCGCACGCACGCAGTCAGCTCCTCTGTCTTCAAAGCAGAGGAAAATAAGACCAAAAGTGATTATGACTTGGATGCGCATGGGAACAGCACGCTGCGAAACCCAAAGGAGTAAGTGTACAAATATTCTGCAGCGAGTTAAAGAGGATGGAACAACAATAGCTACTATAATCGACTATAATAAAATAATCTATCCACATGAGCACAGCATACCACTTAAATATCACTATGGGTGCAACCCTGAATAACACATATTTTTTTTACGAAGTAGCGAAACGCCACGCCCCCACACAACTCGCACTCTTCATCTCCCCCCGGCCTTTCTTTACCCAATGCTCTTTACCGCCGCCCCCCCCCCCCCCCTCGCTTGTACACACGATCCTCTTTTATCTTGCTCCGTGCTTCCCGCTGGCTGAGCAGAACTCCAATTTCTCACACCGTCTTCACCACCTACATTCCCCCCCTCCGGCTCAAAGGTCTTCAAAGGTATACCCTAATTCTGACCACGTGAAAAAAAGAGAGAAAGGCAGAGGGAGGGAGAGAGGGAAAGAGAAAGGGGCAAAAGGGGAGGAGCACCGCAAAAAATGTACTGAGTTTTGCAACTCAGCTGGAATAGGCGAATTGTTAATTGTTTCAAATCTAGTAAGAAGTAACATTTCGCATTTTACTCCACCGCTAATTCATGGCGCGAGTGGTAAAATAATTGGTTTAAAGAAGTAGGGAACTATGTTTTGATGTCCGGTGTCGTGATTTAGGGGTGGGGGCTAATTGCGAGCCTTCTTCTTCTAATATTACAATAACTGAAGCTGTAAATTGATGGCTGCGCCCTAGACAGACATTGAGTACAAAGCTCTGCCTTCATCCAATAACTCAAAAATTACCATAAAACGAGATGTGGGACAACCGTACTGATTTTTTGTTTTGTTTTTTCAGTGAGAAGGGGAGGGGAGAGAAACGAGCACGGAAGACCTCACGTGTGCCTCTCCTCCTTCACACTCACACGCCAGTCCGCCGCTAGGCTGCAATGGCACTCCGTTTACACTGGCGGCCAGCGCACACACAGTCGGCGAGAGGCGGAGCGGCGAACACTTTTGAGGGCCCATTCGAGCCGTTTTGTGGGGCCATCAATAAATTAGGACGGACACTTTTAGGGGGCCGGCGTTTACTTATACGAGGGAGGGATTTAGAGACGGACGTATTGTGGGGAGGGGAAAGTGGGTGGGGACCGTGAGGAAGGAAGGGGAGAGAAAGAGAGACAGAGAGAGACAGAGAGAGAGAGAGAGAGAGAGAGAGAGAGAGAGAGAGAGAGAGAGAGAGAGAGAAGGGGGCGAAGTGATCGACAGCCCAGGGAGTAGCGGCGGCGCGCGCCGAACATGCCTCATCCGTTTAAATCCCTGAATTCCCTCACCAACTCCTCTCTCCCTGGACGGTGAGTTAAAGTTGCTCCCCGCTCCACCACCGCCTGCCCCCCGGGTGGGAGCGGCACGCCGCCGGGGGGCCAGGAGCAGCCAGGCCAGGCCCGGGGAAACGAAACTTGATCGGTGGAAGGCGAGCAGCCGTTCGTTCCAGTCCAGGGTTAGATGAGGAAGTGATTGGATCGCAGGAGGGGCCGGGGCGCGTCCAGCCCGTTCCAGCCAAAACAACTATCAGTGAGTGGTTGCGCCACCCGACACTGCTCCCCGGGATCAGGATCAGGGGCCGCGGCTGAGGGCGGGGAGATTACTACAGGCACGTCGGGGAGACTCCACTGTGCAAAATAAAAGTTTTAAATTAATTAGCGGCAAATTTCTTGCCAATTTTTATGATGAATGATGCTGTGCAACGATCTTGTTTGTTACAGAAATCCAGGCGTGGATTAAGGG